TGTACTTTTTCACAGGCTGTTCCCCATAGCTAGGATGTTTTCCCTCCTCTTGGTTTCCCTACATTCCTTCAAGCTAAAATCTCATCTTCTGAAAGAAGTCTTTTGCCTGGTCCCCCTCAGTGTTGGTACCTTTCCTCTGAAATTATTTCCGTTTTTCTTGTGTATACCCAGTATTTACAGAGTTATTTGAATATTATCTTCTTCAGTGGAAATGTGACCTCCTTGAAGGCAGGGACCGTTTTTGCCTTTGTTTACATCCCCAGTGCTTAGCATAGTGCTTGGCACACAGGAGGCCCTTAATAATTGCTTCTTGACTTTTTTTTCCTTGTTGGAAGGGCTGTTTGGTACATTGATGTGCTGTTCGTGGAATTGTGGATTGTTATAGCCATTCTAGAAACAAATTTAGAACTATAAACCCAAAAGTTACTAAACTCTGAATACCCTTTGATCCATAAATAGCATTACTAGGTCTACCCCTCAATGAAATCAAAGAAAGAAGAAAGAACATACATATACAGAATTTTTTACAGAAGAACCTAGGTGGTACAATGGACAGTGTTCTGGACCTGGAGTCAGGAAGATCTGAGGCCAAATCCAGCCTCAAACACTTACTAGCTTGTGTAACCCTGGGCAAGTCACTTTAACACTGTTGTCTGCCTCATTTTTCTCATCTGTGAAATGAGGATAATAATTGGACCTACATTCTAGGGCTGTTGGGAGGATAAAATGAGATAGTATTTATAAGAGCTTAGCAAACCTTAAAATGCTATATAAATGTCAATTATTGTTACCATAGAGACAAGAAATTAGGAACTAAGGGGAAACCATCAATTGGAGAATGGCTGAACAAAATTGTGGTAAATGAATGTAATGGAATACTACTGGGTTGTAAGAAATGAAGAAAGAGAGCAGGGGGCAGAGCCAAGATGGAGGAGGGGAATCAGTGACTTGCTTGAGCTCTCCCCCAAACCCCTCCAAATACCTACAAAAAATGGCTCTAAACAAATTCTAAAGCAGCAGAACTCACAAAAAAACAGAGCAAAACAAATTTCCAGCCCAAGACAACCTGGATGGCTGATCAGAAAGGTATATCGCACCGGCTGGGAGAGGAGCGCAGTTTGGTGTGGGCGAGCAGGCCACAGCGAACCTGGAGCAGGCCTCAGAGGACTGAAGTGCAGGCAGCTGTGGTGGTTTCCAGACTTCTCAATCCACGAACGCCAAAGACAACTTAGAAAGTCAGTGGGAAAAGTCTGTGACTGTGATGAGAGAAGAAGCTAAGTCTCAGTCACCCCCAGGGCAGCGGCTTCCTCCTGAGCTTCCAGCCCAGTAGGGGAATCAAGTGGCTGATCAGAGGGGGATTGCAAGGATCTCTTTGCTAGTGCTGAGGCATGAATCTCTTGCTTTGCCCATGCTTGGATCTGGGTCACAGTTCTGGGTGGTGGTCCTGAGGCGAGGAGGAGTGCTGGCGTGACGCAGCTTGTTGTGGCGGTGGAGAGGAAACACCTCACCCCTTATCATAGCACCTTGGAAGAACTGAAAATTTTCAGATCCGTAGAAGTATCTCTGAAAACAGCTGTACAAACCCCTGAAGCTTGGGACAGTACATTCTTCACATTGGAAACAGACTCTTAACTTAACAACGAGTTTAAAACTCAAGTAATTGGTTGGGATCATGAGCAAGCAGCACAAAAAGAGTCAGACTACATTGTCTTACTTTGGTGACAAAGAAGATCAAAACACAACCAGAAGAAGAAAACAAAGTCAAAGTTCCTACATCCAAAGCCTCCAAGGAAAATATGAATTAGTCCCAGGCCTTGGAAGAGCTCAAAAGGACTTTTGAGAAGCAAGTAAGAGAAGTAGAGGAAAAACTGGGAAGAGAAATGAGAGTGATGCAAGAAAACCATGAAAAACAAGTGAACAGCTTGCTAAAGGAGACCCAAAAAAATACTGAAGAAAATAACACCTTAAAAAATAGCCTAACTCAAATGGCAAAAGAGGTCCAAAAAGCCAATGAAGAGAAGAATGCCCTAAAAAGCAAAATTGGCCAAATGGAAAAGGAAGTCCAAAAGCTTACTGAAGAAAATACTTCCTTAAAAATTAGAATAGAGCAATTGGAAACTAGTGACTTTATGAGAAATCAAGACACTGTAAAACAAATCCAAACAAATGAAAAATTAGAAAACAATGTGAAATATCTCATTGGAAAAACAATTGACCTGGAAAATAGATCCAGGAGAGAGAATTTAAAAATTATTGGACTATCTGAAAGCCATGATCAAAAAAAGAGCCTAGACATCATCTTTCAAGCAATTATCCAGGAAAACTGCCCTGATATTTTAGAACCAGCGGGCAAAATAGAAATTGAAAGAATCCACCAATCTCCTCCTGAAAGAGATCCCCAAAGGAAAACTCCTAGGAATATTGTAGCCAAATTTCAGAGTTCCCAGGTCAAGGAGAAAATATTACAAGCAGCCAGAAAGAAACAATTCAAGTACTGTGGAAACACAATCAAGATAACACAAGATTTAACAGCTTCTACATTAAGGGACCACAGGGCATGGAATATAATATTCCGGAGGGCAAAGGAGATAGGACTACAACCAAGAATCACCTACCCAGCAAAACTGAGTATAATTCTTCAGGGGAAAAAATGGTCATTCAGTGAAATAGAGGACTTCCAAGCATTCTTGATGAAAAGACCAGAGCTGAATAGAAAACTTGATTTTCAAATACAAGACTCAAGTGGAACATGAAGAGGTAAACAGGAAACAGAAATCATAAGAGACTTATTAAGGTTGAACTGTTTACGTTCCTGAATGGAAAGATGATATTTGTAACTCATGAGACCTTTGTCAGTATTAGGGTAGTTGGGGGGAAAAATATATGTATGTAGATAGATAGATAGATAGATAGATAGATAGATAGATAGATAGATAGATAG